ACTAACCATATCAGGCCCGAGTGCACCATCTGGAAGTGCGGCTCTCCATCGGAACGGCGGCCACCATAGATAACTCCTTGTTGAGCCGCCACCTGAGACAAATCCGGCACTGAAGTGACGTCTCGGTCCCTGAGGAACCCATTCCCCTTCTTCAAATACAATTTGCCGTGCCGCTTTATACGCGTACTTCGAGTTCATGATTTTTAGGCAAAGATGGGGCAAGGGTTTAGAGAGGTGCCTCTAAGTGCGTACTGCTTTTCACTATCATTCTCATAGCGCTCCTACATCCCACAATACCAACACAATTTGTGATGGAAAAAGCGTGAGTTGTTTCAGCCTTGTCTTTGCCGTAACCAATGACTTCAATGTTGACAGTAACTGAGACACCCAGAGAGCCCAGCATATTGTGAAAACATTTTCATTTTACAGGAGCAGAACTCAAGCTGTATGATCATAAAAGGATAAAGGATAAAGCATTTGCCGTTGATCAATCCCTTTTTGGGATGCGGCACGCATTCTACTTCCATTTGTACATTCGTAGTGGCGTTTGAATGCGATGTGGCCTATACAATGACTTGCGGGGGCCAGCCGATGTACAAGTCAGTGTTTTTATCCTCCCAGACAAGTCTGGTACCAATTAACCGACCCCGGAGGGATGGAAGGCTTGGTTGGCCCGGGCGACTCACGACCCAGGATTTGATCCCCGGACCGCTCGCGTGGTAAGCGTGCCACTTGCCACTACACCACTTCCGCCCTTTTTGATCATATGATCCGAAATTTGGTTATAAGCACAAATAGCAGAGGATTTATCACATAGAAAATTCGATAGAGATCAAATAGAAGATGAGATCCTTTCACCTGAGATGCATGAAAAAACACAATTAGTTGACTTGCCAGATACCACGTCGTACAGAATGAATATATCAAAACATCCTAGAAGTTGTTACATCGTTAAGAGCAATCTGATGAGAACATGAAAACCTACTACTAGACACTAATTGTATGAAAAAACTATTCACATGAGACAGTATGTGAGGAGACTTGACAATAAATCGGCAGGCAAAGATTTCAAACAGACAGCAGTTTTTGAAGCCGTTCCTCCAGTTCACGTTTCTCCTTCTTGAATGATTTGACTTTTGTCCTGAAACGTATCACGCGATCCTTTTATATAAAAGACCTGAGGCCACACCCTATCTCCCCCGGCTAAGGGAAGAAAATGGTCCTTCTTATTTATTTGTCTTCAGCAAAGCGTTTCCCTTCTTTTTCGCACATGTTTGCGTTTCACACATATGTACATATGTGCATTCCAAATGTGCAGTTTCTCACGAGGAAGGTCTTTCAGGGAATGCCAAGCTTTCTCAAAACGGTTTTCTGCATGATATATAGGGGTACATGCATGGAACACTGAACTGTAGTTCATTTTTCCTGAGTGGCTGTTTCAATACCAAAAAAGGGGTTATGAAGTGGTCCGTGGTTCGAATCATCGCAGTGACAATTTTTTTGCATTTTCTGTTGGCGTTTCCAAAATTCAGGTCGACGAGATCAACGCCGTACATCGCGAAAGAATCGTTTAATATATCTCATAATTAAGACCGATCACCGCACCTTTATACGAAACTCTGGCTACAAAAACTGGTAGAAAGTTAAGAAGGCAGCTCTTCAAGAAATTTTTCCTTTGCTTCTTTCTTGGTATTCAGACAGTTACTCAAGAAAAATGGACCACAGTTCTATGCTCCATGCACGCACCTCTATATCATACGAATAAACCACTTCGAGAAAGCTGGGCTTTTACTGGAATACCTCCCTGATCAGGGCGATTGTTGTAGGAAGGCAAAGAAAATTTGGAGGAATTTTTTGTTGTTCTAGTTTAGAGGAAGGATAGAATACGGCCTCTGATTTGAAAGAGGGGAACGCATTATGAAAAACGGTGGAGAAATTCCTTGGCAAGGGGTCATATTCACTCCAATTCATTGAGTGTTCTTTTAGATCAATAATCACATAACACTGCGGATTGTCATAAAGCTGGCCCGCCCAGTATTAACTATCAAGCAATTCTACTTTTGCCCACAAATTTTAGCGCCTGAGAGAGGCTGTGATCGCTTTATTGGCAGAACATTTGGCAGTCTCTGCTTTTACACATCTTTTCGGTCCATGGATTATTTGTTTCCTAATCTCATGTTGGTGCCACTACACTCGTTCACAAACCACACCTGTACTCCTTCCTTTCGGATTCTAGCTGATCCAACAGTATTTTACCCTCTTCTCGGAGAGCAGAGATCAAATGGCTCTGATCTTTCAATAGCCGTTGTACTTCTGCAAATAAGTATCTGATGAAAAGATAAAGGTAAAAATAACATAGATACGGCAACTCACGCTCTTCTCCTTCGTCCTCCGGAAAACCCTTTGCATTCTGAAAAATGTCATGAAGAACTTTCAAATAGTAAGCGCAACAGTGGAATCAACCCACTTTTCCTCTCAGCATAGCATTCTCCTCTACAAGTGCTGCTATACGACACTCCGCCACCTTGCATTCCTTCCGTAACTTCATCATTTCAGACGAAAGCCGCTCACAGTGCGCTTGCAGATGGGTTGATCTTTGCCTCAATACATCAACTTCTCCTCCCAACTCGGAAGCGATATGATCTCTTTCGTTCAGAGCAGCTGAATTCACGTCACATGAAATGGATCACTCACAGCTAGAAGAAAGGGGCGTAAAATCTGGTGATAACTGTATTTTCAAGGCAACTATGCACTAAACTGCGTTGCAAAAAAAGAATCACCATGAACTGAGCATGAACACCATGTGAGCTGTATACTTTTGACAAAGGTAGCTCTGTCTGTGTCACCACCAAAACTTGACTGACGCTTCTCATTGGATCGAACTTTATTTCAGCTGAAATCTATGCAATCGCCTTTTGATTGCATTTCACTTACAAAAGGCTGACGTTCCAAAAGGATGAACTCCTCCCGCGCATCATTATTGTTCTCTCTGAGCTCGGAGAAGCCGTTATCATGATTTCATGGGAAGTCCCGCGCAAAGGTCTAATAAAGAAAGACTTACTTAGCATAAAGAATTGCTAAAAGAAGAAAAGGCAGAATCACGCCAGAGATCAAGTATCACACTTGCGCTTCACACCGGGTAAGATTCGTAATGCTAGCCGGTATTGTCTGCTATTCTTCTTATAGGGAAGAGAAAACAAGCGACACACAGCTAATTTTCAAGTCAAGAAACACCATTTCATAAACAATATTTCTAATCATGTGCACTTATCACTTACACTGATAATTAATCCTCAACTCAGCTAGCTCCTTCACACTGTTCTCTAATTTCAGAGAAAGTGATGAAGCAACGCTCACGTTGTTGTTATTGCACGCGTCCAATTCGCTTTGAAGCTGAAAATCGCAGAACCTGGCAAGTAAGCAAAAATTTCATGATATCAAAGCTTTGTTCAGAAGCACTCGTCACTTGTGATGATGTAAGCGCTATGCTTACAATGAACCACTACCACTCATAAGGAAGACGAGTAAAAAAGGGGTTAGACAGGACTAACGCAATGGATAAAGGCAAGCGCGTTGACAACGCCTTATCAGTTCACTTGAAGTACTTCTTTCGACAAAGATTGTATGGAGCAGTTTCTGATGGTCGAGAAAATCGTGCTGAGCGAAGAGGACAGGCTCAACTAGGGGTGGGGAGGAAAAGAGGTGCAGAGTGGATGAATCACTGACCTTGTTCAAGAAAAGGTACAAGATGTGAATGAGATATGTAAGATGTAAAATTCTTTACGATCCTTATAAAGAGGCTTTTTACGAAGAATCGGAATGTTTATGGAAAAGATACCTGCTCCACTCTGCTCTTATGATAATCAACATCACTTTGAAAATTACTCGCCATACGTTGCTCACGAATGAGATCAAATTCAAGCTGAAATTAAATATTGTTAAATCACCAACATTTTGCAATAGTACAATAATCTCATCTGGTAAAATGAGAATGAGAGCTTATGGTTATGGTATGGTCAGAACTCGTCCAAATTTCTATTTGTAGAATAAAAAGTGGCCGACATCATGCGGAACCGTATTACAAGACAGAAAATCACAAAGATCACCTCTTTAACCCGGTTACGAAGCTGAATCACAGAAGCAACTGGTTTTTCTTCATCAGTTTTTCTTTTCAACACCTCAAGTTCTTCTTCCAGCTTCTGGTTTCGCGCCTAAAAAGTGCTCTATAAAAAGAACAAAAGAATGGCTTAGTAAACATGCAAGCGTACCTGTAGTAACTCTACTGCAGCCACAGCAGCAGCGATTTTCTCCTCTGCGGCCGTCATTATCGCAGAGGTCTCGATTTCAGAACTACGCTATAATAAGTAGTAGTAAAACAAGAATCATGCACCGTAAATACTGTCCGTCCACATGAGTGTTCCATAAATGGTAACAGAGTGCGCGATCTGTCGCGCGATTAGTCGCAGGATCACAAAAATCACAAGTGCCTCGACAATACTAGGAGATGCTCTCCAGATCCCACCGTTTCTGCCTGAAGTGATGGTTGAATGACGACTGTTCATGATTCTACTTGTTTCATATTCAGTGTTTCAAATGTTCGGATGGAGCAACTGCGATTTTGCGATTCGCGCGACGGATCGCGGACTCTGACACCAGCCTTACACAGCGGACCCCTGCGACTGCACAGTACTAACGCTAAGAATGAATATGTGTGTTCCAGTAGTTATCAGTGGCAATATCTCAAAACCAGCATAATTTTCAGCATCTCACCAGATGAACGATAAATTTCAATGGACCACATTGATGAAAATGGAGTTCATGGAGGGAAGGCACTTCATGGATCACCTACAATATCGAGACAGGAATTAGAGCGCTCCAACTCTTTTGAAGTATATGATAACCGTCAGTTAGTGTGGAAATAATACTGAGAGGCCTCGACAATTTTGCCTGCAACGGTCCAAGAACGACGTCACTGAACCAGTGGAATGGAGACCATTGCCCCGGCCCAATGAAGAAAGCTCCACGATGGATCAATAGGAGCGCAGGACACCCACCGGTCCTTCTAGGTTGTTCACACAGTAGCTTATCCCTCAGTGTCCAGAGCCCAAAGGAGCGCTCTCTCGCACTGAGTGAGACAAAAACATGAGTAATACCAACACCATCCCCCACCCTCCGAACTTCATATTCACCACTGTCCGCGCTATCAATTCACTCGAGCCTGGAGTGATGAAAGACGACATTTCGAAGGAAAAGTACAGAAGGAAGTCTATAAATCCTATCAAAGGGCGCTCAAAATGAGAAGAACTGAATAAACTGAGGAAATGCTACGCATTTGAAGAACACGGCCAACAAGATGTAAACATAAAAAATTCAAGATTTCCTGCAAAATGAGATTGAGATTTAACGCTCTCACCCTCTTTTCTTCCGCATCCCGAAGTAATCGAATCTGTTCGTTGCTCATGTCCAACTTTTCCTGGAGACACTCCATCATCAAATCTTGTTTTTCAACCAATTCCATCAGCTCTTCGACGGATGGCGCTTAAAATCACTAACCTCAGTATTCAACGTTTAACATTATTGAAAAATTGCATCCCTCCAATTATGTAAAGCTGGGCTAGAAGAATGGCTGCGTTCATAACTCATATTGCCCAAGAGTTCACCTTTTACACCAATCGTCTATCAGCCTAAAAGCACATTCATAGTCGGTCGCAAGATTGTAAATACAGTAACGGTCGTACAGCATTGGATGCGTATCGATCGTCCGTTGCCTGATGTGAGTGTTCGATGACCGACACGTATCTAACGCTATGCGACTATTACGATCGGACGACCGACTATGCATCCGCTCTGACGCGCCACTTCCAGGATTTTACCCCTCCCCCCAATATGTAGTTCAATTCATATAAGAACTCGCGTTCAATAGGTCTACAAGCTTAATAAAGAAAGAACGTGCGCAAATTGTGCTCCTGGCATGATTTTATGAAGACTAAACATTGTGCAAAACAATCTTAATAATTGATTGATCTTAGATTCCTACATAAAGAACTGAACGAACCATTCATCCGACTCTCCATAGCAACAGACCGACTACTTCAGAATTTCGGTACCCTACGAAATCCAAGAATTATCATGAGGCTACCGACCAGATCATCGTAGCAACGGATTATAAAACACTATTTAGAACTTCAACGGTATTCAGGGTGCATGTGTACACAGTTCAAGCGATTTTATTCTATTCAAAAAATAATATTTCATTCTCTACAATATGTATCACAAAAATGGGGAAATGAGAATGAGTGGATACAAGAAATGTTCAATACACAGAAACAGACTGTGAACAAAAGGGAAGGAAATGAAAATAAATATATAAATAATCTTCACTTGTAACCATCCCAATGTGGTTGCTTTCTTAGTTTCAGTCACCTTTAACACACACTTCTTACTTGAAGGGCAAGTTCTCACATAACGCATTATGCTGTGGTCTCCAAGCAAAACGAATGAAGGAACATAACGATCGACGATGGTGCGGTTTTAGCATGGGAAACCGAAAACAAAACGCGATCTTACACAATGAAATTCATGTGTGAAAGACCCACAACAAACAGAAGAAGTCTACACATGTTTTCTATAATCACATAAAAACACATCACAACTTAATTCAGACTCTACTATGAAGAAGAAACATACACCATGTTTTCAGTTATATACGAGACTAAACTTCAAAACGTGAAACCGCGGAATCTCTGAAGTGAAATAAGAGTAGAATACAAGAAAAAGTCACGTAGACATCGCCAGATGCAATATGTATTTCCAAGTAGTGTATGTGCGAATTACCTGCAAGGATCGTATATAAAACAAATTGTGTACTGAAAAAAAAAACAATAAAATGAATATGGCATCAGCAAAGCGCTGCGAGAGCAGTGGGGAGCATGGACTGACAAAATAACTTTAGTAAAAAAAATAGAGGGAAACCAAACACTAAGCAGGGAAAGAAGGAAGAGGGCTTAGAAAGCCTGCTACATTTTGACATTACAGCCTCCGTCAAGATATTTCGTTTCCAACATAAATGTCTTGAAGCTGTGAGGTTTCATTCAGACTACTGCTGTGACCTTACAAATCCGTTCCGCGACATTTCAGAGACTTAGGAAAAGGAGTATGAGGGATGGTAAGAAAGAGGAGGGTATCGGTGGCCGGGGACATACACCGAGGTGGGTGGGATTTGCTTAAACTTATCAATCAGTTTCGAAAGATCTGGAGAACCAAAAAAGTCGATCGAGATGCGAAGAAAAAATGAAATACTATTGGTGGACGAGGCGTGCATCAATGTAAGTGGAGCATTTTAAGAATTCTACCGAATAGTCCCAGAACTAGTGAATCACTTTCGCTAATTTTTGATTTTCATTTTTTTTACTTCCTCCAAGTGCTTCCTCATCCAACGTCTAGGCTAGGCTGCCTTTCCTGTGGAATACTTGGAAGTACTATCGATGTCACTTTGCGATCGCGCGTCACTACTAGCGATTCGCGCGATTCGCTAGCGTCCGCGGTCGCGTTGCGGTACCAGCCAATTGAGTGATTCACTGGCCGCGACGCGACCGCAGACGCTAGCGAATCGCGCGATTCGCAAAGTCTGACATCGGCCTTATGGAGAGCAGAGTAGGAGATCGCTCATTGGCTTGAGGTTGGCGCAACACGGCAGAGCTTGAAAATATGTCAGCTCAAGATAAAATATGTTTCTATTTTTATGAGTCAAAGAATGGTCGAACGGAGCTTCACTGTCAGAATACCCGAATCATTCTAGCTAAGCTACTGCTGCTTGTGGATTTGTTAGCACACTGCACCCAGTCCACATCACCTGGTGAGTATGCTGGATGGTCATTCGAAGGAAGCTATGGAGAACCAACAGGAACATGACGATATCAGATCCGGTTTGGAGCCAATTCAAGCTCACAATAAGAGCACGTGAAATATCAACTGCGTATTTCTCGTATTCTTTGCAACGCTATAGTATGGAAATGTCTAGTACTGTCACTTTGTCGCATCAGAATAGCTCTGGCAAATAGCGGTTTGGCTGCCGTAATCCTTTTTCAATAGCGTAGAATAGAGCATTGCCCGTCATGGGTGGTAGGAGAGATCATCTCCAAATAAATAAAACCAACTAAATAGAGTGAATCACCGGTTTATCGTGAGAAAGCGTTATCCTCGCTTGTTTTCAGGGTTATTCTACATGTTGCTTAGCGTTTGAGAGATTCTAATCGGAAGTGGTAAAAAATGAAGCTCAGATATAAGTTCTAGAAAGATTGAGTTAAAACGCACTAAAGGCAGAATGTCGGTGAACAGGCTAATTGTACAGGCAGGACAATGTTGGTGCTACCTTGCAGAACATTACTTTTGTCCCCGTTTTTAATTTTTTTTTTTAATTTTACAGCAATCATTGTGAGGCGATTCACTAATTATGGAACAAACTAATGCAATTTGCTTCCAAGATGGCCCACAAACGGGAAAAAAAATGCGTAGAAGCTTGCGAGGTCCTTCACGTTATAGAGTTCCCAGTCTGATTGCCCCTCTACTTTGCTGAAGCTTCGTATGACGAACGCATCAGCGTGCAAACCACGCTGGTATTAAATCAAACGAGTCCATCCTTTGATAGACAATAAAACTCACTTGCGATTCTGGTTCTGATCTTTAAGATGAAGTAGAAGACTTTTCAGACGGCTAACATCCTTTCCTCCTTTCTGAGCAGCTTTTGCCTCGCACAGTCGTGCAATTTCGTCCCATTGTGCACCTTCTCCTTGTTCACGACCGAAAGCTGCTAAATGCTCCTGCTCCGCTTTTCTGGAACACCACCATTGAATGATAAAATAATGACTGAATGTCAGCTTTGAACGTGGGCATGGAATTCATTGAGGACTGAAGGCTTGATTGCGTTGAATTCACAAATAATCGCCATTCTTTCTCGATGAATTAGTCATTTCTATTGTTGAACACTCATGAACCTACTCATTTGGCTTACGAGGGACGACATATGGGGGAAGTTAGGAAACTTGCACGAATTCTCACTAAAATGTTATACTCTCATGGACCACTGAACTGAGATCAATAGCGGAAAGCAAGTAAACAAACGAATAGGCAGCAAAACCATGGCAGAATATGAAGCGCAGTCTAGTAAACACTTCGGATCAGAAAATAAACATATCGGGCAGCTGTAACAAAAGTGATGTCTACTGCACATCATTAAGACCAATAAGCATATTTTTTAATAATCGTTAGATACTTCAGGAACAATGTGAAAAGAAGCGGTGGTTTACGGGAGTACTACCTATCCTTTATACGACTGGCGATTAGAAGATGGCAATCTGTGAAAGTTTCAGATTTGGCAATCGAGACACCATTAGTTGGATTAATTTGGTTTCTTTTAGTGGTTCTAATCTGCTTTGGGTATGATGAGCAGGAACCCGTGGTACTAATTTAGAGAAAAGCTTTCTTTTGATACTTTCAGCTACATATGCTCAAGCAAGATGATAGTAGTTGCGAATATAATGTATTTCATCACGCCGCGATAATGCCAGAACTATTCACCCAAAACAGCTGCTTTACAAAAGGATGTTGCTGGTAACAAATGGAACCTGCTCGTTTTCAGAAAACACAGTTGCAAAGACCATATTTCTGAATAAAAACACAGTAATCAACTTTGGCTCTCCCACAACCTACGCTGAAAATGAGCAATGAATGTTAGCGACATAATAATGTACCAACCCCTCGATTTCCAACTGATGGATGAAATGATCATGTGCACATACGCCAGCAACCACCAAACTATGTCACGTGTACGCTTAGCAAAAAAGCTAAGCAAAGCATAATGTTGTTTGATGGCTAGACACTTTTCATATCAGAGAGCTGGAACTTTATTCAGTCGCTGTGTTGTTCTTAAACAAGGACTTCCGCACAATGATAATCACCTTGACTATCTAGACTGAGAAATTACTGAATGAACTAATTAACTGCACACTAGACCAAGGCAAGAGGATGGAAAATGGATTGCGTGGCAGAATTTCTAACAGTATTAGAAGTACCTGTTAGCTTCCTTTGTTAGTTTAAGAGCTGCTTCTCGCTGCTTGTACCAATCCTCCAACTCCTTTTTTGCTGCATTACGAAGTTCGTTTTTCTTCTTTTCTTCTGCCTCATCTGAAGCATCGAAGAATATCGATAGTATCAAAAAGGAAAAAAAAAACGGATGAACAGCACATAGATCTACGACATTCACATCTACAATCTAACATGTGCGTGCTGGCTAATTTTGATAAACAGACATAACCAATATTATGATCATCGCGAACTCATTGAAAATACCTTTCTTTTCAAGAAGAATTTTCTGCTGTTCACGCCATCTGCGTATGTTCTCAGCCTCGATGCGTGGCACAGAAGGAACTGGTGAAGTGCCTTTAGAGCTTGCGGCTGACTGATGACTATTGGCACCAGTTCCATTGACAAGCGGAACTGAAAATTTCGTTGAAGTTGACACACAGAAAACTAGACTATGCTATTCAGCTGTACTCAGAAAGCAGCCAGATAACCATGGTGAAGTCACGTATTATGGGTCGTATGCTATCCTCCCCGAAGGGGTTGGGGGACGAAAATCCCTTTAAATTTTCTGTCTTCCCAACTGGGATTGCCCTGATAAAGGGCCTACATTTAATGTATGTATGTAGGTAAAGTAAACATGCACTGAAAATGAAGAAACTATATCGTTCAAAACAAATAAATTTAAAGGAAACTTTGGATCACCTAGCTTCGGGGAAGGATAGCATACGGCCCTATATGTTTAATTTTTCAGCTTTTTATGAAAATTGAGTGACAGGAAGTTACCAAATATCTGAAAAGCACTGAATACAAACTGTTGTGCAAAACTTAAGGACGACGGTTTACGGACTACTTGATTTTTCCTCAATGGTCCTGCCGCGATGGCTAGAGCACAGACGATTAGAGAATGCCCTAGGACTAAGCCTTGGAGAGGAGAGGGACCCGCTAGAGAGCGCAGAGGCGGTAAAGGGCTGAGTTCAAGTAGTCCGTCAACCAAGGACGACATATATGAAGTAGAATAGCTTATTGTTAGCTTTGTAGACCGTTCATCGGTTCCTGTCAATTGCTTCCTGTACTGCACTGTAGCAGCTCTTTTCTTTTTTGTTCAGTTAGGTTCCACAGAGTTATGTTACTCGCCAGTAACACGCCACGAAAAGCTACGTTCGTCCCTAAGTTTTGCACACCAGTGTATTACACCAAGACCTACAAGACAAGGTGCATCAAGCACGAACTCTCATTCATGTCCGCTAAGCCTGCAGTAACATGCAGATTTCATCACGCACTCAAATAATCTTTCATTGAATTCTTCGAAAAGAATCTACAAACAGTTTCTTCAGGTTTCGACAAGACTGTTAAGGACTTGGGTTTTTTGTGATAAATGCGTAACAATAGCGTCACTGATTCAAAACTCTGATTCACCCATTCACTCTTTTCTATCGCTTACACTAAAGTTTTTAGAGGAACCACTTTATAAGATTTGAACTTCAGAGCTTCAGTGAAATAGCAAAAAAAGAGCACACGAAAAGACGGCACATTCCAACTACTACAACCTCCGAAATCTCGGAAAAGCAGTTCCGTTTATGTTAGCCGAGAAATGTAATGTCCTGATAACAAATACGACACTTATTTCTAGCAGTAGCACCATTTGTTACAGGCGCCTACGGTTGTAATAGTCAATCAGTAGCGAAATGACATTTGTTTCATGACTAGAAAAAATTCACACCTGGTGGAGTCGCCTGGTAATCCAAACCAGCTAGATCGACGCCTGAGTCTCCTCCTCCGACCGAAGGAGGTCCCATTAATCCACCAAAATCGTCTGCAATTTGCTCTTCATCGTCTTCTCGTCCTTCCAAATAATAATGATGAACAGAACTATCACAATCACTGACAACACGTTTACAAGAAGTTAAAAAACAAAAAAAGAGCAAAGGAAAAGAAGAGAAAAAGTGTTACCAGCAGGGGGAGGAACTGGCGGGTTCACAGCAGCAGCGGGAGCAGGAGCTCCATCAATTTCAGCAAGCAGATCTTGTTCTCGAGCGAGAAAATCAGCCACTGGATCGGCCATTCTAAAAAGCAATGACTTATGAATTACCTTAAGACCAATATAACGGACCAAATAAGAAAATCAACAATGTTGGGCTAGAAAAACATCCAGCTCAACGGCACCGCAGGATCTTCTTGAGCGAGCAACATAAGAAAGGGATTTGTAGTTGGATACAGGTCCAAACAAGAATCCAGAGAACACAGAAGGTCAAGGAACCCTAGTGATAAACGAAATCTTAACTGAAATCCGCGAAAATCCGGAAACCAAGGATGACTGAGCCGACCGTGACGCAGCCGCGTCGCAGCAGTCTTCCCTGGATCAGGCAATGGGCCGCGAAATCAAAAGCTCAAAATAGCCTTGGGGTCTTTAAAGGAACTTTCACAAGTTTCAGTGTGTGCACGATGTGGTACTCTGAGAGTTTTGGTTAATCACGAGGTCTCATCCAGTAAGGGGGGGCATTGTGATGCAACGTCTAATA